TTATAGGGTTTTTTTTTTTAAAAAGTCCCTCTTATGATTATAAAAATGGCATTTTAAAGTCCAATACAACCAGGAATATAACAGCTTACAAATCAAATTTGTAGCCTTAGGATATGAAATTGACACAGTGCCTAAAAGAAAAAAAAAATCAGTTCCCCTTGGAATCACTCGCCTATCTGCCCTCCAGCAATGACAGGTGCACCAATACTATAGTAAATTGCTTTATTCTCATTATACTGCTGAATGAGCAACCTGGTCTATCTGAATGCTGTGGCAAAAGAAACAGCACTTTTTGGCAAGACACACTAACCAATATAACTGTTACCAAAAAAATAAATACTTTATAAAAAGTACTTTGGGGTTTTATTCCACCATCAAAATTTCCTTTATAAATTGCTTTTACTGAGTACTTCAAATTGACTGAATGGGGAATATAAACTATATTCACAGGCATCTGGTATAAGCCAAAATTATGACATATCTTTTGGCATCATTATGCAGATGACATATATTACATTATGTATGTTGTAGAATTAGTATTATTTAGTTTTATTGGTATTTTTAATACTAACTTAGACAAAATGGCTAAATAGTACATGAACATATTGCAGTAATGATGCTAAAACAAGAGGGATGGCTAAGGATATCATGCATATGAGGAAAAAACCATCAGGGAGATAATATTAAATAAGATTGGTCATAGAGAACATTCAGACTGTTTAATCCTACCAATTAGTGTTGAGACCTTGTCATACCATCTCTGAAACTGCTTAAAATATTGGTTCAGTTTATTCCTGGCTTGTACCAAAATAGTGTTTCTGCTATTTCTATTCCCAAACTAAGGAATTCTATTTTAATCTCACTAAACAAAATAATAAACCAGATTCATAAAACACTGAGAATATATTTGTAGAGTCTTTGGCATTTCCTGAGCTTGGTTGTTTGCTTGCATTACCCACCTAGGTAACACCATCAATGTGGCGTTTGCTCCCTATTTATTATATATTGAGAATATAATTCCCCAGTTAGGATGTAATAGGAAACCCTGCATTAGGAAACCCTGCATTAATGCCAGCCAGAAGAGATATACTGCATAAAGAAGAAAGGAAAATTTATGAATTCAATTCCATAGCTCCCAGGAGAACTCCTAAACTGGAGGTAGAAATTGAAAGTTGGAATGTGGTTCCTGATCCTTAGAAGGTAAAACTCTGGGTTTAACTTAAGATATAGTATATATTGTATAATAATTAAATGAAAATAATTATATATGTCTGAGATGACTGTTTTTTATCACTGAAATGAAAATAGCAATACTGTTAATGATTTCGACTGAGATTATTTTGTTAACTGTTACTCAACTAACACACGTGCTCCCCCAAGTGTCCAAAGTATTATTTTAACTTTGATATAATTTATTTTAATAGAAAGCGCAAAGATTTATATAAGTGATTGTAGATAATAATTCAATATTTAATATGCTATACTTCAAAAAATCGAAGAAGAGTAATTGAAGATGTGAATAAGTAAAATTAATTATATATATATATATATATTAAAGAAGTTTACACATAATCATTTCATCTTTCCTATTCAGGAAATACATTCTGGTGATTTTCATCAGACATTCCTGAACCATAGAGGAAACAAAATTTTAAAATTCATAGGTTTACATACTTTTGTGTTTCCAATAATTGATGAAAAATAATTTTTTAAGGTCTTGAGTCAGCTCCTGGACTGCAAATATAAAGAGATACCATTGGCTCAAAGACTCTGCCCCTGTGATTCTGAAGAGATTGAAACCTTTGGATATGTCCTTTTTCAGTGCTCTTTTTTGTAGAGACATTCAAACAAAATTTATTTTCCCAATAATTATTAGGTATCCTCATTGTTCCTATACCGTTTATGTTCAGTGGTTGCTTAAGATGTCACATAGTGCAGATAGCTAGATTCTGCACAGCAGCACTAAAGATTTCTGGAACTTGATGAATAATCCATTATAACTGTTTTATACAATTAATGCACCAAATATTTTGATGTTATTACTTTGTTGTATTTTAGTGCCTAGTAACTATAGACTTTTACAATATAAGGATTAATATTACATTATAGCTTAGGCCGTGCTCTTGTTTAAGTGCAACTGATAAATACGTGCCATATTATGATTTTAACATAGATTTTATTTGTTATTTGTCATTATTTAGATCAATACCTATATCTAGAATCTTAACTAGATACACTCTGAATATTTTTAATTGTCTTTGACTGTAATAAATATTTTTTGAAAGGCCTTAATTATGAGAACAACAGAACCATACCCAAAGATCAAAGTTATTTATGATGCGCTGTATGCTTTTGTTTGCAAAAGCATATTTCCAGAACTATGACACCCCAAAGCTGTTCATGCCCATCTTATTTATTTACATGATCTGTATTTGTTGTCTTTGAAAAACTCCCAGTAGTGTATATTCATAAAAAATAAAAAATAATATAACGAAGCCATTCTAAGCAAAACAAAACTGAAACTATACCAAATAATGATATGTGAGCCAACCATTAAATCTTGAAGGCCTTACAAAGCAAATACTTTTAACTGTCTTCATAAAATATAAAAAATCAGAGCCATCTGTATTTCTGGCGGAAGAGCATTTTAAGCAACTGGACAACTACTGAGAAGTTCTATTTCTGGGTCTACCTTCAAAATCTTAAAAAGAGAATAAAACTTAAAGCATTTTCCCTTTGGTTAAATACATAGGATGGATATATTCCATTGGCTAGAGACTGAAGGAATCTGCAACCCAAGCCATTTAAGATTTTTACATTAAAATAAGCACTTTGAAATGTACTAAAATTTATTTGTATGCAATGACCATACAATCAGTGATACAAGGCTGTGGCAACTCTCATTTTGAACCAATTATAGCTTTAAAGGAAGACCATGTATGTATAATAATAATCTTACACCACTGTTACCAAGAACTTATCAGTAAAACCCTCAGCAGAATTATGGCATGCAGTGTTAAACCCGTAATTAGAAGATGTCTATATTAGTCTTAATTGATGACTAGTTTTAACAGGTAAAACCTACAAAGCATATACACCGCAGATATACATGTATCTATACAGATACATTGTATAATATTCTTGAAATTCATGGGACAGATAACTTCAGAATTAAGGTGATACGTCTTTTTACAAATCAATTAGAACTGCTAATAAACAGTTTACTAGCTCAACACCAAAATAATAGAGTAAACTTTGTGTTACAAAGAAAAGTATGGCAACAATATCATTAGAAGAAACTGTTTTTCAGAGAAAAAGACATCAGATAAACATAAAATGGCCCAAGACATTCTAGGTTATAGTGCATCTCCAAGTTAGTAATTGCAATAGTTTGAGATATAGAAAACTTCATTTATATTATCTAAAACCAACAAAAACCCAGTATAGACCAGCATACTGAAATATATAATAATATAATTTCCTTGGGTGTCTCTCCACATATTCAGTTTAGGTAAAACTGTAATGTAAATGTGGAAGTTTTGATAATTACTTATCATCTGAAAGATATTAATTTCCTTTACATTTTAAGGAAATTATTAGGATGCTATTCAGTGTAACTATGTACATTCTTCCTTTTAAGGTTATCTCATATGATAAATGAGAATATTTGGTTTGTATATAATTCAACCAATTCTAAGATAGCAAAAGATATCTAAAACATTTAGAAAATTTAGATACCAGGATTGTAAAAAATCTTTACCACCCAACACTAAAAATATGTAATGAAGCATTTTATTCATCTTCCTTTACTTTGAAAGCAACTGACATTTCATAGATAAACTGGAGTATTTCACAGTACTAGTTTTGTGATTATGTCCACCAAACTGGATAATTTGGGGAATAAGACACACACACACACACACACACACACATCAGAGACACTATATACTAACTTTATATTAGTATCAATTATACAAGAATCAGTTAGAGCAGGGGTGTCAAACTGCCGGCCCATGGGACCGGATCATTCTTTTTCTCTCTCCTAAATGTACAGATCCAGTATATCATATGAGTATCAGCTGGCTCAATCATGCCAAATTTGGGAGAGAAAAATAATACTGATCACTTAATAGAAGCAGAATTAGCAATAGGCACACACATACAATTATGCATTGCCTTACACATTTCATAAATACTTATATAACAATGAAAAATATTTTCCATTTTTCTACTACTGCTTATGATAGTTTTCATGTTGGGTTCAGCACATCATTGGGGAAATTGTTAGACAATTTCTAATAATAATCTGATGCTTGTTGTGATAATATATGATTTTTAGAAAAAAAATGTGTTGACTTTAATAATCACCATTTTAACAGTTTTGATGGCATTTCCAAAGCAGTCAAGGATTTCAGTTATCTAACATCATTTAAATTTATCTCCAGGACAGGTGCTATGCAGTCCAATTCCTTCTGTAATAAGGAAGCTCTGCAGAGTGTGTGGGCCATGTACTGGGCCATGTACTAAGAACATAGAATAGAATATTAATATTCTTTTCAGTGGCTCCAGCTTGGATAGATGACCAAGCAGGTGCTTTTTTGTAGGTGCTTATGATGCTGGCTGCTGAATTCTCAGAGGCACAAGCAGTAGTACTATTTCAAACTGCTATGAAGAGATTAGGGGCTGGAAATAGTATTATATAGAAGTACCATTTATTTGTTCCTTGAAAAGAATATCAATCCAGTGGAAGTAAACTAATTCCATGCATGCCTTGTACTCAGATGTGAAAAAGTTATTTTTAGGTAGTTATAAATGTCAAGCTACTTTTTTGTCATTTATTAACCACTGGTTAAGAAATTTTATAGGCTAAATATTTGAATTAAACTTGGGACAGTATTCAGCATTAAAAATACAGACAATGTTGTAAAATGAGAAGAACTTCCTAATTAATTAGCAAGAAATCAACAATATAGCTAGAATGGCTTAATTGAAGGACTTACTTATTCCAGGCTTGTCTAAGATTTTTAGCACTGTACTGTGTAAAGCGATCTGCAACAAAAAATAAGGACTTTTAATTTTATATTAAACATTTTCCTTTAATATGCTTACAATTAAAGGCAATGTTTACAAGCTAGCTAAAATATGCCAATAGTAAACAATAGCTTCTGAAATCAAATAACAAGAAAAGCAGAGAGTATCCCATTACTTGTAAAAATAAATTATCACCTAATTCCTAAAACCTAATAGTATGTCTGCAGATTAGGCAAATGGAATCACCACTAGGAAATCATTTATAAGAACAATAGCGCAGAACAAAATTGTTTATTAAATTTATATAAGTTTCTTTTCAGATACCTTGAAAAATGTTAATTCAAAGTAACTACATGGAAACTATATTGGAAACTATTATATATTTAATACTATTAAATAATATCATTCAGTAATTTAATCTATCTGCCAATTTGTAAAGATCTTGCACACATTAAACAACTTTGCAGAGACACAAGGATCCAATAGCATGTATCTTGTAATGTGGTGCTCATTAGCAAAAATGCATTAAGAACATCATACATGCATGATTCAGGCTATCAGACTGAAGGCTTTATATTCCAGAGTTTTATTCCTACAGTGACAAATCATAGCACAGTTTCTCTTTATGTACATTCATATGACATTTTGATCATGGGATTGGAGGACATTAACATTAGTCCCTTGTTATGGAAAAATCATACCTTCTTTGTCCTCTTGGTCCTGTAGTTCTCCACAATTGCCCCCCTCCACTGCAGGGAGTTGGGCCTGTTAATCAATCTACCAGACATGATTGGGTTTCACAAGAAAGTTGGATCAGACAGCCGTTGATCAGACAGCACCTGTGCAGACTCAGCGTGATTGAGGATTGTATAGAGTCCCTTCTCAAAAATCCATCTTTGGATCCACCTGTGTTAGATAACCTTCATATACTGTTCAACCTTCCCCTAGGCCCCTCCCACTCTTTTTAAATTTACATGTAACTGCTGGGGAGAGATAATCCAACAGCATGTTATGGAGATGTAGAACTCCTATCTGGCTATCCAGACATTGCTGTTCAGATGTTGATCCAGTGCTTAGAGGTAGTGGCTCCAACTCAACATGGCAAGATCAAGTGGCCGTGGATTTTTGGCTCCCATTGATCTGGTAAAGTGTCATTTCCAATTCTACAATCCTCCAGACAGACCTTGTGGGGGCTTTCCTGGATTTTCAGCTCCTGCTTTATGGTTGCTGAAAGCAACTGTAGCTAGAAGGACCTTTGCCCAGATTTACAATGCATTCAGAAAGTATTCAGATCCCTTTCACTTTTGTCAATTTTGTTATGCTGCAGCCTGATTCTACAGTTGTTGAAATTCATTTTTTTCTCATTAATATACACTCATATATATACTCTATAATGTCAAAGTGAAAAGAGAAGGTTAGAAATGTCTGTAAATTTACTAAAATATCACATTGGCATAAGTATTCAGACCCTTCACTCAGTACTTTGTTGAACCACCTTTGGCAGCAATTACAGCCTCAAGTCTTTTTGGGTATGATGTGACAAGCTTTATACACCTGGACTGGGGATTTTCTGCTATTGTTCCTTGCAAATCCTCTCAAATTTAGTCAAGTTGGATAGCCATTTTCAGGTCCCTCCAGGGATGTTCAATAGAGTTCAAGTCAGAACTCTGGCTGGACCGCTCTAGGACACTGATGGTGAACCTTTTAGAGACCGAGTACCCGAACTGCAACCCAAAACCCATTTATGTATCGTCGGGTGCCAGGTAGGTGTGGCCCATTGGGTGGATGTGGCCAATTGGGTGGGCATGTCCCATTGGGTGGGCATGGCTGTGGTGATAATGGCAGACTGGGTGGGACTAAAAAGTTCAATCAATCAATTCCAACTTTGCGAGATCTTTTTTTTTCCCATGAGAAGTTGAAATTGACTGATTGAACTTTTTTTTTTTTGCACACGGTGGCAGAGGCCTAAAGCGAAAAGGTTTTATAAAACCCAGCTGAAGGCCTAGGACTGGGGCGATGGTGCGCGTGCCCACAGAGAGGGCTCTGCGTGCCACCTGTGGCACGCGTGCCATTGGTTCACCACCACGGTTCTAGGACATTCATAGAGTTGTCTCTAAGACATTCCTATGTTGTCTTGATGAGTGCTTAAGATCGTCATGTTGGAAAGTGAACTTTTGGTCCAATCTAAGGTCCTGAGCGCTGTTGAACAGGTTCTCATTGAGGATATTCCTGCGTTTTACTCCATTCAAGTTTCATCAACCCTGACCAGTCTCTGAGTCCCTGTTGCTGAAAAACACGCCCATCACCATGCTTCACTGTTGGGATGATATTGGGCAGGTGGGGAGTGGTACCTGGTTTCCTCCAGACATAATGTTTAGAATTGAGACCAAACAGTTCAATCTTGGTTTCATCAGACCAGAGAATCTTGTTCTTCACAATCTCAGAGTCCTTCAAGTGCTTTTTTGCAAACTTCAAGTGGGCTTTCACATGTTTTGCACTGAGGAGAGACTTCTCTCCAGCCACTCTGCCATAAAGTCCAGATCTGTGGAAGGCTGCAATGATGATTGTCCTTCTGGAATTGTGTCTCATCTCCACACAGGAACTCTGGAGCCCAGTCAGAGTGACCATCAGGTTCTTGGTCACTTCTCTTACTAAGTCTCTTTTCCCACAATTTCTCAGTTTGTGTGGGCAACCAGTTCTTGGAAGAGTCCTGCTTGCGCCAAACTTATTCCATATGAGAATTATGGAGCCTCTTTGCTCTTAGGAACCTTCAGTGCAGCAGAAATTTTATTGTAGCCTTCCCTAGATCTGTGCCTTGCAGTAATCCTGTCTCTGAGCTCTGCCGGCAGTTCCTTTGATCTCTTGGCTTTTGCTCTGCTACAGTATGCACTGTCAGCTGTGAGGCCTTCTATACAGAGGTGTGTGCCTTTCCAAATCATATCCAATCAATTTGATTTACCACAGGTTGACTCCAATTAAGGTGTAGAAGCATGTCAACAAGCAAGAAAAAATGGGAGGCACCTCAGCTAAATTTCAAGTGTTAATGGAAAGGTTTTGAATAATTATGCCAATATGATATTTCAGTTTTTTCTTTTTAATAAATGTATAGACATTTCTAAAATTCTGTTTTTACTTTCTCATTTTGGGGTACTCAGTGTAGATTAATGAGAAAAAAATGAATTTCAACAACTGTGGAATCAGACGGCATAACAAAATTGACAAAAGTGAAAGGGATTTGAATACTTTCTGAATGTACTGTAATCTGTATGCCACTCCTGAACTGGGAGACTTTGCTTACCGCATCAGTCAGGCTCTAGTCATTTTCTAGATAGATTATTACAATTGGCTTCAGAGGAGGTTATCCTTCAAGACCATCCTGAAGTTACAACCAGTCCAGAATACAATGTTGGGTACAATTCTGACATCCTAGTCTTTGCCCTTAGTACATTGTTGCTATGAAATCTGCATTTTTGATGCTGGTTTTATTGTCTTTTATGCCCCCCCTTTCTTAATCCCTCCCTCTCTTTCATCCAGAATTATGATTCATAAGCTGGTTGGCCCAAAAGGTCCGTTAAGTAAATAAATATGATATTTAAGATATTGTGAATAATGAATAATGATAATTTTCCTCTCTATGTACATTTATTTTTATTTTTTGATTTTATACCCTTGATAAATTAATCTCAAATTGAAATCAGATATATAATGTATATAGAAACAAACTGGGAGGTATTACTCATGTCTCTGTTTGGATAAAAATTATCTACAATTATAGTAATACTTTGTTTCTTTTCTCATAATAATAGACCAAGAAACAAAAGTTCTTTTTTGTACATACTTCCTAAATCACTAGTATAAGACATTCGGTTCTAGTTATGTACTATTTCCTCTATGTAGAAGGACATAATTCTTTCAGAATTACTAAAGAACAAAATTGTGCACATTTCTTGTACAATAGTAATGTAATGCTTAAGTATAATTGATAATACTATTTATATTATTGTTTTACACATGCTGCCAGAGCTCAAGGCAGCATAAATTAAATTTTACAAGTACAGCCATTGAGATAGGGTTGTTCGTCTCAAACAGAGTGACTATTCTAAGAACACCTCTGAAAATTGATCCTGTGTTTTCAATACCTTATTAGTCCTTGGCTTACAACAGTTCATTTAATGACCATTCAAAGTTACAATGCCACTGAAAAAAGTGACTTATGATCATTTTTCACCCTTATGATTGTTGCAGCATCTCCAAGGTCACATGATCAAAATACAGAAGCTTGGCAATTGACTCATATTTGTGACTGTTATGGTGTCCCAGAGTTGTGTGATCCCCTTTTGTGACCTTCTGACAAGCAAAGTCAATGGGAAAGCCAGGTTCACTTAACAACCTGTTACTAACTTAACAGCTGCAGTGATTCACTTAACAACTGTGGAAAGAAAGGTCATATAATGGGTCAAAACTCACTTAACAATTGTCCCATTTAGCTACAGAAATTTTGGGTTCAATTGTGGTCATATGTCAAGGACTACCTGTACTACACTATTCTACATTAAGCAACCTTTTCCCCCACCAGGCATCAAATATTTCACTGGTAATTTGTGATCACAGGTAAGTATGGCTACAGCCAAAATGGGTGAAAAAAACTGCAATTTCTTATTGGAATCTTTTTGACACTTTATTTCTTTTCCTCCCAAGTAGCAGGCTTCAGGTAACAGAGATATATTTTTGTTAACAATTGTATTAAAGAAGTTGTATTAATCGTCAGAGAATTTCTTTGAAACCAACCAGTTCTAGGTATAGTTTCTATGCAGAACAATTATATTATGCAATTTATCAGAATGGAAAATGCTCACGCACTGTATTGAATCATACTGGACAAAGGTTGAGATATTTTTAAATTCAAGGTGCTAATAATGTTCAGATTAAAATATTTTAATTAAATGACAATGAATGCTGCAAACAATCAATTAGATTGCCAGTAATTATTTTTAGTACAATGGGTGTATAAACTAGTA